ATTTAGAGAAGATATCAGTAATTATCCGCCTTCTAAAATTAGGTCCTTTAAGTAAATTGTATATATTGAAAAGGTTTCATGAGACAAAATCATTCAATCAGATGTTATGCTAATGTGTTCCATTTGAACGACTGAAAATATTATTCCTTTACTTTACGGAGCTTCTTCAATTACAAGATATCTCAGAGAAAGCTCTTCCTCTCGACAGAAAACATCACGGTAAGATTTCACATTAGTAAATAACCTTATAAATAGCATCACTAGACACTTTAAAACACGTCATCGATTTCAAATCAATGTTCAAAATGAAAAGTTCATCGTCATGAAATTTCAAATGTTTGAAATATTGTCGAATTCAGACACACAGAGGTCAAACACTTGGTCTGTTCCTTGGATTGAAGGCTACATGTGAATTTACAGGTGAATAAACAATTTTATTCTTCCTTCACGTTCCCAGTGGAACATAGTGCCTCAAGCTAATGGCTTGAAGCTGCGGTAGCAGTGCGTTTTTAATTATACAGGATGAGGTTGCTAGCCTCATGCCCAACCTATCCTCTTTGCCGGTATTAATTCTGGCTTAGTGAGGTAAAGGAGTGGGTCGGTGACTGGGGATCGGACCTCGGACCATGTGCATGGTTGGCTAGCGTCCTAACCGCTGTGCCACCATCGCAGTAGCCTCCTTGATGACAGAATTTCTAGAAGAGACACTGGGGACTTTTAGCTGAGAGCCTTATAAATTATTTAATAAGTAGGTATTTAATAATTTAGTAAACATCTGATTCAGGGTAATTAACTGAGTTAAAGGGTGGGGAAATCACAACGGTCGTAATAAACACAGCATATTATTATAACATTAATCATTCCTGTGGGAATTATGTCATAAAATTGATGTTTAATAGTTGTACTGGAATGTAGCATTGTTCCTGCTGATGAAGAATAGTCAGTTACTTAATTTCAGAAAATCAGCCTGCAAGATTCAAATAAATCATTTCTCAGCGATGTAATTCAGTAAATGCTATGTAAAAAACTTTATTTTACATCAGGAATATGTCGCTTAAGTTATATTATTCCTTAATAAAACCACTGTAATATAAGAGTATTATTCACATACTGGCGTTGTGTACTTTTGTGATTTTCGTATATTTAAGCAGTGGTATTCGCCTATGCCCTGATATAATTCAGGTTTCAGAAATAAAATTTGACGGGAAACACCATCAGTAAAATATATTATAACACCACTTCCAGAACTGGCATGTATTCACGGAATAAATATGTATGCAGTTCTTTGTACTCAGCAACTCTCAATGGTATATATGTGGCTTTCAGCGAGTAATAGTTTCTCTGTGAATTTTAGCAACTACGGATTTTTTTTAAAATCCCCTTACATTCCCAGTGGAACATAGGGCCTCAAGCTAGAGCTTTGAAGTTTCCGTAGCATTGGTGTTTATTTTTTACGGGATTGGGTTGCTGGCCTCATGTTCAACCTTCCCTCTATACCAATCGTATACCTGACCTAGTGAGGTAAAGGAATGCGACAGCCGGGGATCGAACCCCTAATTACCTGCGTGGTTGACGAGCATTCTTACGCTGTGCCACTGACGCAAAGACTATAAATTAAGATACCTGAATATATAACAACACGATGAAGTGAGAAAGGAATCGATCAGCTTCCTCAAAAAAGAAACAGCACCAAAATATTTCAAGTATAGAAAAGTGAGAAAAAAAGCATTGTACTTGTCGAATTGGTGGGGCTTATTTTCAAACAAAGGACAAGGTATTAAGGTCACTGTGTGGCATGTGGTACCGGTAAGGTGTAACAGTAGTGTTTAGAAGTAGGTCTATAGGAAACAACCAAAACTGAATACGACATTTTAATTTGATGGCTACAGAGGTAGAAGTGTTTATTCCTGAAATCTGGATTTAGTTTACGTTATGGTTAGGAAATAATCTCATCAGGCAACAAGGTTAAACTATTCGGCTATTCGGAACAGTTTATTATCTGCTGACCTAGCCGACTTTTAATGTGGTTAAATTTGTGGTGTGCTTTTCCTCAATAAAAATGTTTGTTACCAAGTCTCTTGTCTTCTTCTGTTACAACTGATATGATTGTAATTCTGTTTTGTTGACGCATTTCAGAAAACATGCGAAGAGGTTAACGCTTAATGTATTTCAATATCAATAGCCTGATGTACTCTAGTGTTGAACATAGCACTGTAGCATTCTGTTTTACGATAGGGCTGAAATTAAATAAATTTGTTGATTTCACGGTCTAACTTCTAAAACTGCCTTAAATTAACACAGTATGCATCTCAAAAAATCATATCACTGAAACCAAGATCTCAACAGCATCAGTTTCCGACAACATGAGATAACTCATTATTTTTATTATTTTGATGAGTCCCCAGTGGAACATAGGTCTTCAACAACACATCTCCACTTCATTCTGTCTCCTGCCGTCCTCCTTCAACATCCTTCTCAGGATGGTATAGTCCTTTTTCAGTAGCCCAGGAAAGACTAATGGGGAGCAGTAAAGAAGAATATGTAAGATACGACAGAGGTTGAATGATTCCAGTTAGTCTGAGTTTCTTAGTGAAGTAGGTTAGACGAAACACTTTCTTAGAAATCGTTAGGATATGAGATGACCAAGTAAGGTCGGAAGATAGAAATAATCCGGGGTATTTTGCATTAGACTTAGTTTCAATTTTAGTCCCCTCAATGCTACAGGCTTCATGAGTACTTACTAGTGTTTGTAGATCTCGTTTATGCCTAAATGAGAAGTCAATAGTCTGTTATTTTGAGGGATTCAGCATGAGACCATTTAGTTTAGACCACTGACTGATATCTGACAGGAAGCTATTTAATTTGAAACAGTCTGACGAGATGAGAATATAAGCTTCCAGACACTAGATTGAAATATGATGCTCTTGGAACTTGCATCTCAGCTGTAATGCTAACAATAGTGCCACCGCCATAAAAGGCTGTTAGCTATCGGTAAAGCATAATGAATCTTCAAAGTCTAATTTTGGTTGATTTTAACATATCGCTAAAGAGTGATAGAACAGTGGATTTTATCTTCAGTCAATCCTGGTTTTCTTGTGGTTTTGTAACTGTTATCAACTCGTGATCGAATCCTTTCCAACTAACACTTTCTAGTTGATCTGATTTTCCCTAGCGAGTGATTCTATATAGGAAGTTCTCTGGAGTTCTAATGAAAAGTCGTAACCGGTGGGATCCTACAAATCAGGCAAGAGGACAGTTATTCGCCTGTTGCATTCACAGTCAGTCGGGCTAAATATATCACGAATTGACAGAATTTGTAATTCATGAAATATTGGGTTAAGTCTTGGTGGTGAATTGTCTGCCAGCTTCTCTGGTGACCTGGAAGTCAAGGGCTCCAGTCCCACTGAGGGCTTACTGATGAGGAGTCGCGGACTAGAACAAAACAACTTTGCAGCACTACCTGGTTTCCCAGTGATAATCTAACTGATGTTGGCTCATGGTCAAACTTCTTTTTTTTCATTCGCTGAAATACTGGTATGTCAAATAAGTGACACTCAAATTACCATTTTGCTTCCGTCTTTTTATACTGTACCTCAGCCTCGTCGGTCTCCCGTAAATTCCAGGCACTTTTGTACACACTTCCTATTTTAGAACCTGAAGTTATCAGTGGATTACATTTACAAAGAAGTTTGTTCCCATTGTTTTGGGCCTAGTTCATCAATGTTTTAAGTAGGTATCGTCAGATCAAACGACCAAATTAGTTCAAACCACTCACACCCTAGCATTGCAGTAAGTTAACTAACAAACTACTTCATTTTCAATCATCGTTAACAAATTTACACCCACTGTGATGTCTTATGTTTGAATAACTATTTATCAAGCATAGTGATCAGGGCGCTCGCCGACCTTGCATATGGTCTGGGGTTCAATCCCCGGCCGGCGTACTCCTTTATTTCACTAAGCCAGAAATAATGCCGGTAAAGAGGAAAGGTTGGGCATGGGGCTAGCAACCCAATCCTGTAAAAGTAAAAAAAACACTGCTACAGAAACTTCAAGTCTCTAGCTTGAAGCCCTTATGTTCCTCTGGGAACGTGAAGGAATAAAAGAAAAGCATATTTTCTCGTTTAAAATGAAGGTTATTTGTATACTTGTAATTCGCTTTTTTCACTACTAAGCTTATATTGTTTATTCTTTCGTTTTCGATTGAGTGTTAGCCAGTCTTAAAATGATTCGAAAGTTGGGATAGACACCATCTCAAATGAAATAATAGACTTAATATGTCCTTGGAATTTCCACTTGAGATATAAGTCGAATGAATGTTTATAATTAAAGTTAAACAGCATATATGTTGTTGTTCTCTTGGGTTCCTAGTGGAACATAGGGCTTCAGCTGCACGTCTCCACTTGCTTCTGTCTTGTTGCTGCTGTACTTTTCACCTGCATCCATGTTAGTCCATACTCTTTCAACTCCTCTTCACACGATCTCCTCCATGTCACCCTTGGACGTCCTACTCGCCGCTTCCCTTTTGGCCTAGTTCTACTCGAGCAATGGCCTAGCGCGCGATGTCACCCAGCGGTCTCCTTAGAGAGTGTACAATCCACCCACAAATTCTCCTGCATATTTGTTGTTTGGTGATTGGTTCTGGTTTTGTTTGTTTGTTCCCATAGTTTCTAGTCGGTGATTCTTTCCGGCCAGGCCGAATGATCTTCAGTATAGAGCGAAGACAGTTGTTGATAAAGGTCTTCAATAGGCTGTGGGAAATATTCTTTGTGACACACCCGCCAAGTTTCTGATCCATATAGAACATCGCCTAGATTACTAGCTCACTAGTCTTCTAGCCGATCTCAAGCCCGGATAAAGAGGGAGGGTTGGGTTGTGATGCTAGTAATTCCACCCTCAAAAGTTAACCAAATTGCTACAGAATTTTCAATACATAAATATATTAAAAATACTAAAAATATATACAACATATATATATGTATCGCAATTGAAATATTTTACGTCTATATAAATGTTCCTATGCATTTAGAATTGAAATCATGCTTTGGTTACATGTCAGTTTATATAATAAATATAGTTTTGAAAGAACCACTGAAACATTGTTATAATACAGGTATGTGAGTAAATGTAAACGCCATAGTGCAGTGATTCCAATGTTAAAGCAAAGCGTGAATGGATTAAGAAAATTTGACTGTTAACAAGTATCTTCGTGTTCTTATTAAAAAGAAGTTATTGATATTATGCTTCACTTTAATCATTTTATAATGCTTTGGTGCTGAAGTGTGTAAAAACCATCAGAAATATCATTAGGCCTATGCGAATATTCAATTTTATCTCTCCATTGCATAGATCTGTTGAACAGCAAGAGACTGACTTGAGAACTGGTACTTCATCACAGGTTTTAAGTCAATATTTATTTATAGTTCCGGATGAATTACGAGTCTGAAAGTCAAATAAAAATTCAACATTTCCAAATATATATATATATATCCGGATTTGACCACGGATTGATATCAGTTAGAGTACAGTTGAAAACCAGCGAGTACTGGACAGCCATTTCATACTAGTTTGAAATCATCGGTGGTAGGCATCCACTGGAGTTCGAATCCACCTAGGACCTTCCGGTTACAAGGTAAGCACGTATATCATTCAGCCACTGGGAGCCTATCCAGTAGCCAACCCATTCATTCTAACTTCTACTAATTCGTGATATACATGTGTATATATATAATATTCTGGAATAATCGTCAACAGCGATATTGGTGTTTTGAAATACTATCGACGTTTTAAGTCAGATCAATCGAATTACAGTTCAAGAAATTATTATAATAAGCATAAAAATGTAACAGTGAACAGAATATCAAGTAAAATCAAGGAAATTTCCACAAAATATTGAGCATCGTTAAAACCTTGATTGATGGCCTAGGTAAAGACAGTGTCTGGACCAACTACTATCAGATACAATGGTTAGATTTCTTAGTGTGGATCCCAACCGCCTTAGCAATATGTAGTAGACAAGCTCTTAAGGTAAGTTTAAGATTAGTTGGTATTCGTTAGATGACTTTGAAAGCCTAGTTTGGCTTGGAAATTCAAAGTCTGACTTACTAAATATAGCTATTAAACATGTTGTCATTCTATGGTAGGCATAATGGAATTTCCCCATTTCTCATGTTAATCAGTAACAAGTTTGCGGTTGGACACAGTTTTTGAAGACAAGATGTGTTCTTTTTATGTGCATAAATAGCTTTGTTATCTAAATTTTGATTAATTTTCTTGGAGAAATTCAGACCAGTTTGCCGGACGAAATGTTGGAATTAATTATTTCAATTTCGCTGAGTTTTACAAACAAATTCTCCAAGTTCCAAATCTTTAGTGATGGAAAGCTCTGTTCTACTGTTAATATGGATTATGATTGGAAAATACTTAATTATTATATTTTCTTTTAGTTTTATACCACTGAAATTTGAAGGTAATTTAACAAACTGTTCCGTTCACTGAACTACAGCAATTTGATCTAAGAACTCAAGATTATTGGAGGATAATTTAGTAAATGTGGATTCCCAGAAACGTTTGTTGATAAAACTATGAATTTAACCCTAGGCTAGCTGGTACTTTAACAGCTTTCAAGAAGATAATGCTCTTAAAACCACGATTCCTTTGAGATAAATGTGAAATAATAGCACAGTACCTAAACAACTAGGTTAAAAAAGCACTGATTGCAGCAGAAGTACACTGTCTCTTCACAATTACTTCAATTTCATCCTCGGAAAATAGAGATATTTCCCCTGATTTCACCACCTCCTTGTGTATCTATGAGTTTGACTTCCAAGCGTAGTCAGTTACAAAAGGTGTACAGTTCGGTGTGTACACCGTTGAATTTCTGAACATCATCTCGCGTATTGCTATCGGCAACTGTGACTGCAAACAGTATTTCCCAAATAAAATCCCGACTTTGCCATACTTATAAGGCAACAGCTTTTTGGACGGTATATTGAATTCCATTTCGTTTGAATTTCCTACAAATTTGCTTGACATCATGAGCTGACATCAGCTAGAGAACCACTGAAAATCTGGGAGTGCTAGACAAATGTTTCATCTACATCTAAGACTAACACTTCATCAATATTCTCCTTTCTTGAAACTAATGGAGAAGTTACTTTTACAAAAACTCGTTCCCTCCCTAGGCTTCTCAAATGATCCAAAGCAATTTGTTTACAAACCGAGTAGAAGTACTTTGGATGCTGCTGCTGTGTTTCATCACAACATTGTATCCTCCTTAGACAAAGGGGTCAAGTATATCCGTTGTACTTTCCTTGATTACACATCTGCTTTTGACTTTGTACCTAGAGGCCTTTTGTTAAACAAGCTTAGCCTTACACAAACTGAGTCCTGGGCTATCAACTGGCTGCACTCTTCCTTCTTTAATAGGATGCAGTATACGGTATATAATGGTGTAGCTTCCTCTCCTTTGCTTACTGAAGCTGGTGTTCCTCAGGGTGCTGTTCTCTCGGCGTTTCTCTTTTCCTTCTTCTTACATGACTTACCTCTCTCAGACGAAATCAACTTCGTCAAATATGCAGATTTCTTGACTGTTTCGCTTCCCGTTAAGTCTCAGTCAGACTGCTTCGGTGCGTCGGTGGAACAGTGGTTAAGACTGTCGCCGATCATGCACATGATCCAGGGTTCGAGCCCGCGCCGACGCACACCTGATATCTATGGACGGCCTGCGAATTTCGCGCTACCGATATCCCTGCTGAAAATTCCATACTTCTACCAAAAATACGGTGTGGAATCAAGCTGCAATCAAAAAAATATAAATAAACGAGATATACAAACACTAGTAAGTACTCGTGAAGCCTGTAGCATTGAGGGGACTAAAACTTCTCCTTAATTTGACTATTATTACTGGATTAAAGAAATATGACAATTCCTTTTCTTCTTTAAGCCTTTCATCAGATATTTCTGTTTTGAACAGTCTATTCGTCTTCATTTTATCTGGTGTTCAGTTTACTATTACATGTTTGTTTTGCATTTTATCATTCATACTATAATTCCAATGAAGTTAACAACTCACTATTATAATCTTAAAAACATAGGGGTTATCTCTATCATTTGCACTTTTTGCTTCTTTCTTCTTTTTTCCTTCCTTGAGAACATCTTTGCACTGAATAATTTCATTTGTGATATATTACAGTTATATTGACATAGGTTCCGTTTCATTTTGCCTTAACAGTGGAACATAACGCTTCAAGCGTGAGTATTGACGTTTTAATGGTGGTGTTCTTTTCGAAAGGAGTGAAGTTGCCAGCTGAACTCCTAACCCTTCTACTTTACTGTCTTTACTACTGACTAAGCGAAGATTAGGTGTGCGGTAGGCTTGGGACCGAACGCGGATTTTGGGCACTTGGTTGGTGAGCGTTCTCACAGTGAGTCGTTCACTCAAAAAATGGTGTTTACCAAAATATTTCGAATGTTTATATGGTTAACTGTTTACGCCTTGTATAGAACCTTGAGTGCATCGGTGGAACAGCGCTAGAATACACACCAACCACGCATGTTATTCAGGGTTCGATCCTCGGTCCACCCACTCCTTTACCTGACTAAGCTAGTAATACTGGTAAAGAGGGAAGGTTTGGCATGAGGTTCACAACCCTCATGTCTTTAAGACGTGAACGTCAAGCTATCATATCTGCATGCAATGAGCTCATGTTGTATTGCAGGGACTTGATCGATTTCAAGTTAGATCACGAAATGAACCTGAAACATGGATGAAACAGCTGTCTAGTACCCCACCCCCCCACCTCGCTGATTTCCATTCGTTCTCTAAATGATGGTTCCACTTAAAATTTAGAATAAAAATGTGTTTGTTGTATTCATACTCATGACCGCTAACTTTCTAGAAGTTTTAACCTCATCTCTTCCTCAAATCTGAATACTGGATGAGCTTGTCTCATTAGAACACTCAACTTATTGATATGGATATCAGGCTGACTGAAGAGGAGAGTAGGTTACTGAATAATCGTTTTCTGGAAAACTGAGGATTACGATAAAATCAGCACGTTTATATATATGAGTGAAATTATTAACAGTTGGTTTCCAGCATGATTATCTTGCCAGATACTAATTTTCAAAAGAATGGATACTGAACAAACAGTACTCTTTTCGATAACTTCATCATCAGGCTCTACAGTTATATTTTTACATTATAGTGAATGAATGAATTAGTGTTATGAACAACATTAATGTTTAAATAACATTGAATCAATAATAGTGATATCAATAGATTACAGTTTTAAAAGTTCTTTGAACTGATTTTCTTGATTTTCTCGTAACTATCTCACTTGGTATATCGCCCTTGAATTGTATTCGTATGTAACCAAGTGAGATAATTACGAGAAAATCAAAAAAATCAGTTCAAAGAATTTTAATGACGGCCAACTTCATGTATTATTCTCTACGTGACCGATGATGATTCTTCGACTGAAAGATGAAGTACCTAGACTACCTGGCCACTTTAAATTGTATCTACCAATTCAACTGCGCTTGTGGAGCCAGTTATATTCGGCGTAGCTGTAGGAACTTGATTTTTCGTGCTCGAGAACATCTCCCACTATGGCTAAGTAAATGTGTAGCTAAAACCATTAGCAGTTCGACACTGAACCATCTGGTCCAAACCGACCACAAAGCCAGCATGGAAGAATCCCTCTCTTTAATCTACCGGGTGCCTAATGAATCGCCAAAATCATCGGAGCACTGCATGCTCCAAACAGCAGAGGTTATTGCAATTCGCCTCAAACAACCAGTGCTCTGTGTTCAAATGAAGCGAAACCAGCCCCTACTACTACCCTGGCCTTCAGTAGAGACTATAAATTTATGAAGTTGTGACGTTATCTTTCCTAATTTTTCTGGCATTCAGTTTATTGCTATGTTGATGCTAATGAACTGTAATTCATTGATATCATTATTATTGATTTGATGTTATTTAAACATTAATGTTGTTCATAACACTAATTCATTCATTCACTATAATGTAAAAATATAACTGTAGAGCCTGATGATGAAGTTATCGAAAAGAGTACTGTTTGTTCAGTATCCATTCTTTTGAAAATATTAATGTATTTATATCATGCTTGACTGAAATGCAGACATGACATGATATGAGGTTTTTGACATAGGTGTTTCTTCTCACAAAATCACTAATTTAATCAACTGGATTTCAATGTAAGCAACTAAATGTTCAGAGTCAAATAAATAAGATTCCTAAGTTAAATTATCCAACTTCACTTGTTTAAATGAGTGACAAAAGTATTGAATTATAACGTTGACTTCAACTTACTGCACATGCACCGCACATATATTCAACTGCTTCGTTTCTATGTAAGCAATCATCACAAACAAAACAGCTTATTGGATTTTCTAGAAAAGAATTCAAACGTGGATATGAAGAGGAAGCAGTCTGATATGAAAGAATCAAACAAAAATCAAATACACTTTGAAAAAAAGGTTAAATTATCTGACAGTCACGCTATCTCGTCATTTTAAGTGGTATAACTCTTCTGAAAACTACCTATGAGAATGTGTATCAGCATCAAAATAATCCAAAGTCAACGGGTTGTTCAGGAAGTAATGAAATTCAGATAACGACAGTTTTCGAAAAATGGAAACTGTGGCATTGAGCAGAAGTATGAGAGACGTTTGTACTTCAAGGCATAAGGTACTGGAATACAAAATAATCGTGGTGTCCATGAGAACTGGATATTCCGCCTCGTAGCTAATGGTTGCGATTCTCGAAGCAAATTGTACATGGCTTTTATTATTTTCTTTTACCATTTATCTTTGTCTTTACCATTTGTCAAAAATTGGTTGCTTTTAAAATCCCATTAAGTCATGTATCTATTTGTTAAAATATCTTCTTGAAGTAAACAAGAACAAAACTTAGCGGGATAATACGGCATCATATCATTTCGTCAGTTCTTGTCGTTATGACTAAAACCGACTCATTGTGGCATAAACGCGGGAAGCAGATCTTCGATTCCCACTGTATTCCTGGTAAAACTTCCTTGAGACATGTACAGACGCGAAAGGAAGACAGAAAAAAGATGATTAGGTGTTGCCGGAATCTGTGCATGTTTAAAGGAAGTTTCGCCAGCTATACTGTAGGAAGTAGAGATGGGTTTCCTACGTCCAGACAGCAACAAAATGGGTTTTTGGTTGTAACAGTTCTCAGCATTACCGTCAGGCAGCTATATGTTTGAGTCTGTGTACAAAATGAGTGCCCATTATCAAATGGAATATTTCCAACAACGTGGGATCACAAAATCTATCTACAGGAACTGCACATCAATGCATCCCTTGGATACTCCGAGGCCAGAATGATGTTGGTTCACTCAAACAAAAATCACATCGTTCAACACATTATAATTGCGTATAAAACCGCCACAAAGAGAAGAATTAAAATTTGAGATTAAACAAGGATGAAGACATAATAAGGATCAAATCATCATGTGATATGCAAAGGTCAGGACAATGATATGCAGCCTAAGAGGAAAACGGATAGAAATCACAAAGCTAGATGAAACATCCAAATGAGCACAAATATTGTGCTGGATTGTTCAGGAGGGATTCTCCTGACAGTCTTTCCGTAACACTTGTAAACTGCATACAACTTTAAACAGCTTTTGTACCACTTTACTAAATTTTCACATATTTTATTCACTTAGCATGGAGATTGGTAATATTAATATCGCGTAGCTAAATTATTACTATATTATTATTTCCTTTAGTTCCTAGAGGAACATAGGGCTTCAGCCGCGCATCTCCATTTCGTTCGGTTCTCTGCTATAGTTTTCACCTGGCTCCAAGTCTGCCCACATTTTTTCATTACCTCCTCTTCACATGACCTCCTCCATGTCACCCTTGCACTGACGACCAACTCGCCACTTCCAATTCAATCGGGTTCAACTCGAGCGATGGCTTGTCTAGTGATATCATTTGATGGTTTCCTCAGAGAATGGCCAATCCATCTCCATTTCTTCCTACTTTTTTGTTGCATAATTGGTTCCTTCTAGGTTGGTTCGCTCCCACAGATCCGTGTTGCTGCTCTTTTCTGGCCATCTGATCTTGAGTAATGAGCGAAGACAAAAGTTGATAAAGGTCTGAATAGTGAAACATTTTCCTGCAACAGTAGCCATCAAATGGCTGAAACCAAAACTATGCATACATAAGTTGACAATGGTCTATCTCTCATTACTTTGATGGGTACATTCGCAAAACAAAGTTTTACACCGTTCACTTATTTCATTCAATCTTCTTTATTTATCCTACCGTCAAAAATTTAGTTTTTTCCTTCCAGGTGCCACATACATTACTCTTTCTGACGATATAAAATGTTTTGGTTCCACAGTTATGTAGCCTGGTACACTAACGTAGTATTTCTAGTTAAACTTTCCTCCTATACACTTTACATAATTCACAAAGTTTGATTCCGTCTAGCTTGACAGCAGTTTACAAAAATCTTGCAGGCAATAAAACTGAGCTGACACTATTCTACGGCATCGTCATTCCCACCTCGTTCAGCTCTCTCTCTCTCTCTCTCAACAGAAAGACGTGTTGTATCAAGGCAGTTAAAGTTTAGATAGCAGCTTGTTGTCTATCAAAATTAATGACACTTACCTATTATGGATGTATAATTCTTCCTGTTACACAGATTTCCGAAACATTTTTCATAATTTATTGTTGGAAAGTTATCAGGCCTCCCCTGCCATCTGTCTAAGCATAATCTAGAAACTTCATGGTTTACTCCAGCAGTCTGTAATTTAAGCGTACAAAGATTTATTCGTCATAAAAATAGTGGGAAAAAAATTACAGTGACAACATAAAACACAAGGGCTATATTTAAAAATTCTCTGATTCTTCACTTTACTACTCCAGTATCACAGGTGTTTTTTTTAGTTGACATCGCATACTGCGTATTAAACACTCTGACAAACCATTGAATGACATCACGCGCTCTAATGCAAAACAACGAGCTCTGGCTTCCGAGAGTGACATGACAGAGATTATATGGGGGGAGGAAATGATAGTTTGTGGGTGATCGTGGAGCCAGATAAGAAAATGGAAACAACCGAGTGAAATAGAGATGTGATCATGAGCTGACATCAGTTAGAGAACCACTGGAAAACCTGGGAGTACTGGACAGCTGTTTCGTCCTAGTTTGGGACTCCTCAGCAGTACGCACCCACCGGGATTCGAACCCAGGACCTTCTGGTTACAAGGCGAGCTCGTAGACCATTGAGCCACTGGGACCCGATCCAATGGTCCTTGAATTCTAACTTCTGCCAGTTCACGACATAGCGCGACCACTTCGCAATGTCTTCTTCGATGAGTTACTGCCTCTAACTGATGTCAGCTCATGATCAAATCCTCCATGCAATCAAACAAAATCCCTACAACAAACCAATACTTAAAAATAGAGATGTGCCATTGAAGTCCAATATTCCACTCAAAACCCAAGGAAATAATAATATTACAATATGATGTATTGGATAATATTTTGAGGACGATTAACTAGTTATTTAGTATGGCTGTAGGATGAAACTAGTAGTTATACCTTCATGTGAAGTGATTGTAATTGTGATGAAGTGCTGACGGGTAGAACCGGACGCACAACATTGTAGCAGTATTCACCAATGTATGCAGAATTGGTGTATTGTTTAGTCTATCAAATATAATGAGTTGGAGTGAGTGCACACGCACACACACAGTGCTTACCACCCTCCTAACAAATCTGCTTCGAAATAATGTACAATTCATACAAGTGTAAGCTGATAGACAGCCTGATTCTCAGTTATCAAGTGGAAACATAGGTCATATATCAATATCCCATTGCTTATCCTTGTTGAAGTTTTATACCTGTCTATGCTTACACAATTGTACATCGTTATTTGCACTGTCCAAATACAATTAAGGGTCAAATCATGATGTTTCTCTTTTTCCTTTATTTCTTCATTTGTTCTCCAAAATTTCTGGTACCAGAAATTGCGTTACATAAGAAACACTCATTTCTCATTTGTCAATTTGTAATTTCAGACTTTTAGTTCTTTTCTAGTCTGCTGTATTGTTCGAATGCTTTCGATGAATATGTAGAATTTCAGATGAAGACATAAATCTCACTCATTATCCCACAGAAGTGGGTTTAAATTATATCTACCTTCTTGAAAAGAAATGAGACGAAAAATGTTGCACTAGGACGCTAAGTGAAATGACATGATAGTTGTTTTGGACAGTGTTTCTACATTCTACCAATAAGTTCTGTTCCAATCAAGTATAATAAGGAAATGAGCCAGAACACTTTGCAGTAGAGCACGGTAAAAATTTGTCCCAGCAGTAGAACTGAGCATGAAATAAAGTCTCTGGAGGATATTTTATCTACGAATGCATATCTTGAGAAGTTCATTAATAAATACTCTCAAGAAATGAGCCCTTGCAAAACTATCCAAGCAGTTCCGAAGAAATCTGTCTAATAATAATAATTTACTTTATTCCAAAAACAGTACTTATAATACAGAATGGAATTCTCGGATTTGTCACAATATTGCATCTGATTTACTTAAAATATAAATAAAATTAAAACAAAAGTAACCAGATGAATTCGTCTACATTGAAGATATAAAGTCAAGAATATTCGAAGCACGAATTCACAGTATTAAATATAATTATAATAATAATAATAACAGTGAGTTTGTTTCAAACAGTATTTTCGATTCAGTTTGGAAATTTTAGCATGTTATAGGTTATTGAATCTAATGTTCTGTTGATATAGCAGCATGGTGAGGAGAAATACAAAATTAACAGTTGTAACACAGCTTAAACGATGTTCACACTTATGAAAAAACATTTTTATAAAATTGAGAGGATTATAAATACAATAAGTACAATAATAATAAAGGTTGATGTTGTGAGGGTGGAAGAGAATGGTTTATTTATTAGTGCAAAGAAGGTTAGTCACTTCATGCCTTACACGTTTTTCATCACAACAAAGCACGTGCCGCCAAATATGGTATAGTGGAATTTTTATACTTAAACGTACATGCATAAAGTCTTCTGAAAAGACTTCTTGTTTTATGGAGGCGGGTCAGAACCAAGCATTTATTCTTTAAAATCTCACGTAGTTGCTTTCTGTGCTCGACTGAAATCAAATATCAAAAGATTTATTGAGCTGCGGGTAAAGTGGATGCTCGCAGTCTGACAAAATTCCTTTAGCAAATTTGTTGCATGACATCAAGTGCCTAACAATGACAGTGTCAACAATATGTCCCGATGGGATACCACTCGCCCTACTGACAGTCTCTAGAGTCCTACGAAGTATGACAGTCATTTTTAAGCAATCCAGGAAAGAATAAGGGTGAACGGTGAAGAAGAATAGGTAAGGTGTTCGAGTTGACAAACTGTAAGAGGAGGGTTTGGTTGAGTTATGCCTGAGTACACTAACTTCTTAATAGGAAAATTCAGGGGAAGTATTATTTTAGGAATGTTTAAGACATGGGAAGACCAAGATAGGTCAGTAGAAATAATTAATCCGAGATACTTAGCTTCCGACTTGATTTCTATATCCGTATCATCAATTTTGCAACGGTGATAAGAACCGCCGGCTTCATTTAACTTTTGTTTACATCGGAAATCGAAATTAACAGTTTGACATTTTGAAGGATTTAGTTTAAGTCTATTAGACAAAGACCATTTGCTGACTACTGATAGAAAGCTGTTCGTCTTAGTACAGTCTGGCTGGGAGTTATTAGACATTGAAATAGTTAGATCGTCCGCATACTTAACAAAGTTCATTCATCAGAGTGAGGAAAGTCATACAAGAAGAAAGAAAACAGAAAAGGAGAAAGGACAGTGATCTGAGGGACACCAACCTCAGTAACCAATGAAGTGGACGACTTTCCCTGACATGCACTGTACTGCTTTGTTCCTGAGAAATAAGAATGAAGCTATTTGATAACCCAACAGTCAGTGTGCCATTCAAAGGAGATGATATACAAGAAATAGTCAAACGAAGACTCGATTAAGCTATCAAGAGAATTTATTATACTAGTGCTCTAACATTATGGGGAAGACCAGTCGCCAAACTGCGTATGCCAATTTTAGCGTGTTTGTGGAAGCAGTTGCATAGATTTTCTAGTAGATTGTTGAATCATTTACTATTGCGGTTGAAAACAGCTGAATTCAAATTGCCAAAAAGCTCAAAAACAAAGCATCTTGCGGACTTTGGATATAATATCGTCGCTGTCAATTCATCCACTATTTTAAGCAGACAAAGAAACAAGAAGATGCTTGCAATTGCAGAAGCTTGTGCAATTCGAGTTTATGAATCAGGTTTCCGTTCACAAAAGGAAGTGGTTGTCACTCTGAATCGACCATGGTAGTACATTTTGGTTATTAACTCTTGCTATTATTATTAATATTATTAACGCTTTATTCTACCTCTTATTATCAGTCTTGATTCATCTAAAACTATCTTTTATCAGTAGCATTATCTTAACTCACTTCAACATTATTATTATTATTATGACTACTAGTATTAAGATTACTCAGCTCACAATTCTCCATATATTCTCTAGTGACTGATTGTTTATCTAAGTGATGTAATTGAAACTTATTGCGTTTTATCTTAATTTTAATCCCTCATACTCCTTCTCCCCTTATCTATTTGAACATGACCTAGAAAACATTCTCACCCGTCTTTCTCCGTGATTAATTCAATGTAGTTTGTTTGCTCATCAGTTGTATACCTCACAATGTATTTTCAATAGTTTATGTATTTATCCCCGTATGTAGAGTATTCAGCTGAAGAGGAGTTCTACCGAAATTCGACGAATTCATTAAATCCTGCTTTATTAACTTTTGTTGCTTGTTTCAAATTTGTTAAACGGAAATAAATGTTTTCGATTAACATTGTGATTCTGGTACGTCTGCCACGATAAATATATATATTTAAAAAATACTACTCATAAGAAAAACTTACAAATATTAATAAATTACTCAAATCTCAAAGCATCTTATTATAAAACAAAATTTACCAAGCATGCGCTGCAGCCACTCTTAGTAGGTGTGGAAGTATCAACTTGTGGGCAGTAGTCGCACTCGTAGCATACGATGGCACTGCATTTGTCTATGTGAAATAAGGTAAAACATTTTTAAAGTTATGACTATCAGTGCAATGATAGATAAATGAAATGAGTTGATTCATTTAATGGGTAAACCTCGCGAGGTCGAATTTAAGCATATCAACCATACCCATCTTATATATATATATATATATATGGATTTAAAGGTACTATTGAAAACAACTTTATGATGTCTCTTGTTAGATAGATGACGCTGAACACGTATTTTCAGGGTTAAATGAATCACGTGAATTTATTTATTTCTACAGTCACTTCAGAATGTATCCTGTAGCCTTAATCGACAGAAATAATCTAGTACTCACTATGTACATGGGACCACATACAAATGTAGGTTCTCAATCACAATGGGTGCTCATAATTGCTAGGATGTTGTTAAGGTTTATAGGACAACATAAATTTCGTTTTCTCCATGAAAGTGTGCTCAGCTGCATAATGTGACACTCTGTGGCTTTATTAGGTGATCAAACTTTAATGATCATCTATGAGTCGCAAAGATATAAAAAGCATCCTTTTTGGGAGCTCGGTGAATTCGTAAAGCTTTTGTCTGGCGTACCCCTAATTTTCAATGAACTTCATTGCTTAGTTATGATCTCATAACATTTTGGTAAGGTATTGGATTTTTTTTTCTAATGGTGTCTACAGTATATATATATATATGCTCAGTAAAGAGGGACTTAAACAACGTCGTTTTATATCAGAAACGTCAAAAACCACGGTGACTTTGAGCCTATCCCATTGGAGTTGGATTCCTGTAGACTATTCGCCTTATTGATCTATCCTGTTATATTTTTCCATTTCTGAATTAAGAAAGGATTCCATGCTGAGATCCACATTATATATCATTTAGATTCCATGGTATCAACAGTGTAAGCACCAAGCTATCAGATAACACCTCAATAACGTAAATGTGAAAACAGGTGAGGATTTTCTGAATGATTTCTGTTGAAATATTGTTATATTTTAATAACTGGACATTATCTAACGATTTATCGTCAGTATGGTGTCTCGAGGATCATATAATCAACAACTTAATCATGTGTGCCTTTTATATTAATGTCTAATGTTGTTTTATTGAGCGATCTGTTTACCTAATTAATGACACAATAAAAGAGAAAGTATTGAAATTCAGAATAAGTCTCGAAGGCGATGTGTACGATGACATTCTTTCACGTGAACTGGAAAGATGTGTTGATAGAACTTTCAGTGAAGTTCTGGTGATACTCAATTTTCAACTTAGCCAGTAGTCACACAGAGAATCAAGGATAAATTACCGATTATAAACTATTCAGTGTGCATCTATAGGTTCGACTTCTTCTATCCAGTTATACACATCATATTGAGGGAGTTTGATCATTGGCCCTAGTATTGAGCTTGCAATTATTAAATAAAGAGTAAATTGTGTTAAAAGGACAATTTTATCACGCTTGATGAATAGTCAGCAATAAATAATGCTCAAACAGGCGTTCTCAGTGATACGTCGTTTCCCCTCTAATACAACTACATATCTACCCATAGACGAAGTTGTGTCAATCAATACCGAATTGTTTCCAAATTGTTTCGAATGGTCTACAACAGAATTAAAGCATCGTCTATAAACAGTTGGTGAAACTTAACGCTCCAGTCCACAGTGACATATCTCTTTTTTCTTCTCTCACTTTATTGTTAAGTTTCCCTCTCCCATTCAGATATTTGCTTCGTGAAGTTTCAACATATTTCATGGTAGAATCTGTTGTGCGACGACATCATTCATTTGGACAACTGTTAATTGCTCTTTCCGTTTTAGCGGTATTTTTTAAATGATCACAACTTACAATATAATCTGCCTCTGTTTCAAATGTTTATAGTCTCACTACATTTCGTAATAAATGAGTTGTTATCACTTATTTCCCTGAGCATATCCCAGTTTTATTTGTTATCACACCATCGAATATTTCTCACTATATATTAAATGCTGCATTTGTACTAAATTAAATTTTCAATAGACATTAGACTGATTTAAAATCAAATTTCCGAGTTTTATACTTTCAGTCTAGTGTTTTGGCACTTAAATTAATCCACCTGCCCACAAAACTCCGTTATCTGATCACCCATTCCAAGCTCATTAGAGGCCACTGACTTTTCAACTAGAGTTCATGACCAGTAGGGTCCACGATATCTCTTCATGATGCGGATGCTCATTGATAGTATAAGTTAATAATGGTGCTATCTCGCTGAATGATAGGACTCAGTATATACACGGGTCATTGAATTCCAACCTAGTGAGTGAATGGTCACCTGGCTGGATTAGAAACTTCTGCCTCTTGGGTTTAAGTCATATTTAAGCACCACTGAAAAATCCCAAACTACTGCTTCTTGATTTCCGATGATTCTTTAAGAGATGTGTTTGTGACAAAATCTACACTGAAATATCCTAATATCTATCCCAAACTGACTTTAAGATTTCAGTTCAGACAAGATTTATTAATCGTAGAATCTGAAGATGAATTTATTGAAAATAACTGTTATTTCTGATTATGCGTGTGCCGAATAAACTATGGTGACATTTGAAGTGTTAAATAATCGTAAGTAATGAAATTATGACTAGTCAGTAGTCAGTGTTCGTCAGTGGATGATGTTAGAGTTCCACTGAGATTGCGTACATCTGTATTTATCATCCAATTCAATAACTAACCACAGTCGAATACACTAGAACTCCTTATTAGTTGTACATAAGAATGTGTAATAATCCAATGCAAGAGAACTAGTAGATAGAATGTGAATTACACCGGTTTAATTGCAGGCGATCCAAGCAGGTCGGGTGTTAGGACAAATACTTACCGAAGACATTGGCTAGGGAGCACGCTTTGTCATGAATTGGCAGAAGTTAGAATTCATGGACTCGCCATTGGTTCGGGTTCCAGTGGCTTAATGGTCTACGAACTAGCTCGCCTTATAACCAGAAAGTCCTGGGTCCGAACAGTGTTGGTAGGTGACTACTGATGAAGAGTCTTAAACTAAGACGAAACAGCCGTCCAGTTCTCCCTGCATGTTTTCCAATGGTTCTCTAACTAATGTCACCTCATGATGAAATCCTGTAAATCAATCAAATCCCTACAAATCAACACTTGAACATCCAAGCGATGTTATTCGTGTGCTTAAAATAAAGGATTTCACGTCAAAGATTAAAAAAACAGTGGCATTATATTGATATATTTCTTGTCACCAATTGTGATCAGTTATATTAAGTAACTATAAGTATAATAATTATAGAAGTTTTCTGAAGTGATATTTCAGTGAAACAATTTCTCGCCTTGACTGTTATTAGTGTACCAATTTAAGACAATAAAAATACACGTTACGCTTTGAACAAAAGTAAACAGAACTTACACAGTTAACCAGAATATTCACCAGTATATAAATCGTTATAGTAAAGCAGTTCATTAGTCTTCTCATCATTCCTTATCTTCTTAGTGTGCTATCTGCTTACATAAAGGTAGTAGAAGAGGCTTTTATGAATTATGTTTCTGTGTATTTCAAATAATACACACTATAGCATAAGGTATGCTCACCTGTTACCCAATCAAGAAGCAGTTCATTAGTTATTGAATTTTTAATGTAAGCATTATGACTGTCAGAACAACTAAGCTGTAGTTTTGCCAAATATTCTTCTTTTTTTTCTCTTCATACGTATTTGGTAACCCATCAATCAACACCAGTTTTATGCAGTAGTTATCAATCAAAACTAAACATTTTTCATCAAACCCTTGTAATGTTCTTCAGTATTACTTAAAAATGTATTTTATTAGTTGTATAAATGTTTTCTGCAAGACTAAATGATACCAATTGATAAACGTATGGCGTTAGCCTGACTTGCTATGGTAAACTATTAAATATGCCTAATGTGTTTCTGAGGGTGTTCAATATTCTCTCGATTCCGAGCTAGACATTTTTTCTATTATTTCAAATAATCTTCTGTGACATAAACACGCAGATGTGGTAGGGAAAATACAGTAGCCATTCTGATGATGTTAGATGGTTGGGGACAATCGGCCACAGGAAGCCTTGGACCTAGGTTTCATGCCAGTTGGTACTCACCAGTCAGCAAGGCGTATCTGCAGGCGCCTTGAAGGAACTCATGTCCCTTCTGAATGGAACATGCAACTCCATGCAACTCTCCGTTCCATCCTTTTATCTGAACTCCTTTAACTGATCCAGGGTCGCTACTAGACTCCGATTTCCTTCCCTACATCATCTTCTCCATATCACCAAAATCGTCTTTATGCTTCGGAGTTATACTCGACGGACTGTCTGGTGCGCGATGTCACTTAATGGCTTCTTCAACTTGTGTCTGATTCATCTCCACTTACTTCCGTATATTTGTTGAGCAATAAATAGGTCCTTAATTAGTTGTTTCTCTGAGTTCCTGATGCTTACTTAACCTTTCAAAACATCTTATCTTCACTAGGAAAGTGATCAAGACAGCTGTTGATGAAGATCAACAGAAGGTTATTGATAATGCCTTTCTTGACATGGGCGCTGAATCTCTGGATTATATATATGAGCAATAACCGACCCGAAGATATATTGTTGGAAATCCAAATCTGGTTCATTATACTGGATGCATCACACAAACATGGGGTTGAATTTAATGAATTTTTAAATTTTGTACAATCTTTACACATTTTTTCGAATACTATGGTGCAAACAATGAAGTGAATGGAAAATGATTTCACTTTTGTGCGAAGCATCAAAGGATATTTCAGGGGAAGGAAACAGATGTTGAATAATGAAGAGGCCGAATGGAATACATAACTTTCGAAAAATGTTATTGGTCGAAAATGAAACTGGGTAGCAGTTCAACACAAGGGATTCGTGCAGTGACTGAAGTCAAATAAATAAACGTTAGTAAAATGGAAAAGGAAATTTGCAAAATAAAACATGAAGTAATCCATACGAGGAAAAAGAAATGAGGGAAACAAACTATTACAAATGCAGAATGGTCAAACTTTCACCTGGGATACTCATAAGATCTATCAGTATCAAAGCATCGAATTGCAGGGAGATAGACAGATTTGATGTCAGAGAAGGCGAATGACACGGAAGACCTGTGCAAATGGCGTGTTGAAGATAAGGTGCACATAATTTGGCTATATAGACATACCGAATTGCTAATGAACGTTTCATTAACAAGTCTCATGTCTTCTACAGTTACTGTTACCTATTTTGCAGGTGCTGGGTGATAACCATATCTACCTAATTTTCTTTTTAAACTTCCGTACCTTGATTAATTTATACGTGGAAAAAAGACCTTCTATCCATATTGCACATCATGATGGAGAGTAAGTGTACTTTTTTCAATAGCCAAGACTTTGCTGTCTTCTATGTCTGTAAATATTTCTGTTATTAATATTAGAACAAGACATATAGACGAACAATACTGTTTTCGTTTGGATCATATGTATATTTCTATATATTTCACTGGTGTTATCTGGAATTGGTTTCTGTCTTAGCAATTCACTTTCCACTTCTTGCCATTTTACATTCTCATCTGTCTGTGGAGTTATTCAGTAAATAAACAGTTGCTCTAATAAAACTTCCCTTTAGCGTGATACTAAATTTGGCTGTTGATACATGCTACTCTCCAAAGCCTGAGTGCATAATCCAATAAATAATACCGGATAGAATAAACTTGATCCTATTCTCTTCAGTGTTCTTATTTATGGAGTCGAGATTATGAATACGTCTCCTGTTCAACACAGTGATAATATGTCATTATCTTCTGATCTAAGAACACAATATTCACCGATAACTGAGACGTTAGGATTGAGAACAGACAGTGAAACATTTTCGTTGATAGTAATCTAAGTTTTTGCGTATTCCAAACATTGATCACTGTCTCTTTCAGTGTAGACTGGATATGGACTGAAATTTTGTATTACAGTTCTCATTGACACTTATGATGTTAATCAGTTAGGAGAGACTTTTTATACATGGAACGTGCAAGATATTAGTAGTATGAAATAAGTGGAAAAGGTATGTATATGAATGGAAAATTTTGAGTTCCCACACCACAGTCATGTTCTCAGATATCGTTGGAAAAACTTACAGTTTTGAGTAATATATAGTTTACTGAAGGTGTCACAGAAAGATATGAAGACATTTCGGAATAGGCCAGAGATAATATCTCTGACAGTGAGACTAACTGACCATTATATCTGCGCCGCTAATTGTTATAACGGTAATGATGGACTCGACTGGTACGCTAACACGCTTATTTCTCCGTCGTATCTTCCGCTTCACTAAGCCACACAATACCACAAGACAAATACTGGTCTGTGACTGTGAGATACTGTATTTTTGTAAGAAAACAACACATCCTATTTATACATTTTCTTTAGTACACTACAGTTTGCTCACTGCCGTAGCAATGGCTTGTTCTTATTGGCTGGCGATAGCCATTCTGACTGGTCGGCGTTCCGATAGAGACGAAGGTGAGACAAAAGATAGTGAGTTGGTCACACAGTAGACCACAATATGCGTGTGCGAATGATGGATTAACATAGTAACCTCATCCCAAGATAAATCACAAGATTCGTAAGAAAGCGTGATATACTATTTTATGTTGGTTCCTATCAGTGACGCAGGTTTGAATCATCAAGGTGGCAAAAGTTCCTTCATGATTTCAATAACGGTCATTAAGCAAAAATCGAGGATCACGGAGTATCTTTGATTGCCAGTAACCACCTAACAGCCAATCATATCAAAGTGGTTTTCCATATCTGAAGATTAATGTTCCCTCACCCTGTACTTACTGGTAACTTCGATAGCAGAACTTATTTCTGAAGAATACAAAATCATTCTTAACCTAATCATGATACGGAGAAATTTTCTGCTATTTTAAAGAGATTATTGTGGACTAGTGTGCAAAACTTGTTCACTTAAAATGTTCACTTCTGAATATAATCATTGTTCAGTCCACCTAATAGTCCTTGAATGGAAGAAAATTCTAGTCTTATCCCTGAGTAGTTAGTGTATACATGTTTTTCTGATTAATATAAATGTCGTGTATTATTTACCACGATTACTAGAAATATAGTTCAAAATTATAGCTAGGATATCAATGTTCGAATCCACAGGAACTTATGTTCTTTATTAAAATTAAAATAATATGTGGCTAAGATGGGACTAAAATTCAAATGAAATTTTGTTCTTGGTGCAGAGAACAGGCACTCAGGATAAGTCGTTCTGCAGTCTGTAAATCATAACTGTCGGTGTATATATTCAGATGAACTTTTGCCTTCAAGTATTTTAGAGTATTCCTATCGCCAACTGTGACTGCAAACAGTATTTCCCAAATAAAATTCCGACTTTGCCATACTTATAAGGCAACAGATTTTTAGACGGTATACTGAATTCCATTTCGCTTGAATTTCCTACAAATTTGCTTGACATCATGCGCTGACATCAGCTAGAGAAATTTTGAAAAATCTGGGAGTGTTAGACAAATGCTTTGTTCATATTTTAGACTTACTCTTCATCAGTACTCATACATCATGCCATCAGATATCACACTCAGAACATTTAGGATTACATCCCTAGCTACCATAGTACTCAGAGGAATTGAATATAGGAAGGTGTAAAGATCTCTTTAACATTTCTGAATCAACCAAAACTTAATTCATAAAGAAGCGGTTATTAAGGAATTTTTTTAATTCCATTAGACTTCCAGTGGAACCCAGGCCTTCAAGATAGAGGCTTAAGGTTCCAGTAGTAGTGGTGTTCATGTTTACGGGATGGGATTGCTAGTCTCATGCCCAACCTTCACTCTTTACCAGTCTTTATTACTGGCTTAGTTAGGTAAAGAAGTGCGTCGGCTGGGTACCGAAGCCCGGATCACATGTGTGGTTGAACAGCATTTTACCTCTGTGCAGCCGACGCACAATTAAGAAATAGAAAATAATAACTTCACTATATAGTGACATTTATAATCATTAAACATCATTTCTCGCCGAATAAAGCAGTTCTACGCTGTACATATGTACTACTCATGAGTAATATGAAATATATAATGAAAAATAGTACTTTGTGTACATTAATAACTGTAAGTAGATATTTCAATTATAATTACTCATACAAGCCACAATTATGCATCAGAATGATCTTCTCGCCAATTACATGCTGTTGAGAAGATTTAGGGCTAGTGAGCAAACCTGTGGGATTGTGCAGATAAGCCTTTTATAAGCTTTTATATGGTAATATTGCAAAATTACTTTCCTTCTCCAGAAACAAATAGTGTTTCTGCAAACTGTATTTCAATATCCAAAATGATTCATTCACTTATTCTACGTGAAATGTACAGTTATGAGGCCAATTTGTTGAACAACATCACTTGTTTTTGTATAATGCAGTTTCACAGTTGTATTACTTGTGTCTCTTCGTCGATTGTTGACAATCATATCTTGTAACGCTTTTTTATGAATTAAG